CCGGGTGCCCCCGGCCGGCCCCCGAGCCCGGGCCAGACCCTGGCGTGTCCCCTTGTCGGCACCGGCGTCAGGAGCCCTCCAGCCCCTCCTGGCCCCTCACTTCCCCCCTCCTTTGCCTCCGTGATGTGCCCTTCCCCTAACAAAGCCGATTTCCCCACTTGCAAGGAGCTGGAGGTTTGCAAGGGACCCCTTGGCACTTCAGCTTCCAGCAGCTCCAGAGTGAGGGAGCTACAGTGGAGGTGCCACGAGGGCAATCTCCAAAGTTAGGGCTCAGCTTTGGCAGGTGAAGCATGCCTGGGACACTTCGAGCCAAGGATTTTGGGGTGCCAGCTGCACAAGGGGGACAGCAGGGCTGAGCCTTGGCACGGAGGTGATGTGGACACTGCAGCCAGGGCAGGGCTCGGCCCCCACCCACACCCACATCTGTACCCGGGCAGCCCTGCGGGAGAGCAGCAGTGCCCAAAATGGGACCGTCCAGCCCCTGTGGCTTCCTGAATCCCAGCACAAAATTCCCCTGGCCACTGCCAGCCCCATCCCACGCCAGGAGCCGCTCCGAGCGGCACATCGTGCGGCGCTGCTAATTCCTGCGAGCTGAATCAGCGCCGACGAGGATTGCAAAACCCCCTGAAATGGACCCAAAAAAAAAACTCTCTCTGTGCGATCCAGCGGTGCCGGTAAGCGAGAGCCCCGGCCAGAGCCACCGGCAGGATGAGGGCTCGGCAGGGAGCCACAACGGGAGGAGCCGTCGGCTTCACCCAGGCAAATCCTGCCTGCACCCTGACGTGGCAAGGCTGGAGGGCTCAGGTCTCCCAAAAAATCACCCCTGGTCCCAGGCACGGCCCCACGGAAACCAAAGACAGGTCCCCCAGGTCCCCACGTCTGGAGCAGAGCCCCGAGAGGTCATGCCTCGGTGCCAGGAGTCTGGATGCCCACTCTCGGGGGGAGGACAGGTGTGTGCCCATCACACAGACCCCAGTGCTGCCAGGAAGAGCTTTGGAGCTCGTCTTCCTGGAAAGCTGGGGAGGCCAGGGAGCACTGTCTGGCCACCGAGGCTGTGGCTCATCTGGAAGTGATTTGGGCACTGCCATCCCACCCCAGCGCTGGGCTATTTTTACCCAGTGGAATTACGGGACAGGCGACATGGGCTGGGTGGTTGCCCTGCCTTAACCCCTTCATGTGGCTGCCCAGTAGCTCCATGGGGATAGGTCCCACTGGGGTGACACCTGATGGGGTGTGGTGGCCTCTCCCCTTCCTTGTGTCTGAGGGTGGCAGCCAAGCTGGGGCAGGGAAAAACCCTTTCCCACTGATGGCAAGCACACATCAGCCCTTGTGATCTATAGGGGGACTGGGACAGGGATGGGGACAGGAATGAACCCGTCCTGCTCAGGGTTCTTCCTGCTGGGGTGGGTTTTTTCAGAGACCCCCAAAACACCTAGCATGACCCAAATGGGGTGTCAAGCCCCAGGAAAAAGCAGTGCAGAGGGTGCCAGGCAGGACGGGAGCAGGACCAGCCACTGAGGTCTCATTGCAGCTGGTGCCTGGGGAGAGGTGGCAGGGTGACAGTGGGAACATGTGCCTCAGTGGGGTTGGGTGCCCTGGTCCTGGGAGATGCCAGGGCTGCAAGCCTGACCCCAGGAGCTGGCTCAGCCACAGGCTTTGGCTGGGCAGGGGCAGGGGTGGGTGTTAGGGACTGAGCCCCCTGGGCCCCTCCATGTTCTACTCCAGTGCTGGGGGAGCCAAACAGCCCCAAATCCCTCCACAAACATTCTGCTGTGCCAACTCCCTGCTACAGGCAGGTCCCAGCTACGGCACCGCCCGGCTCTGTCAGACTTTGCACCATGAAGGGTGGTGGCAATCCAGCTGTCCCCATCCCTCAGCCATCCTGCCCTAGAGGGACGTGCCCACTGTTGGAACATGCCATGGGGGGTGTGTGGCTTCCTGGGACCTCTGCTGATCTTGGAATCTCATCCCTCCTGAGCCATAGCCTTGAGCTGGCTGTGGCACCCCAGAGACTCCCTGGGGACATTTTCAGGATATCAAAAGAAGCAGTGAGCCAAGGGAGCCGCTGTTCTTCTGTCACCATGGTGGTGACAGCACTGTCCCAGGGCAGTGCTGCGCTGGCCGCCGGGCGTGCGGCAGCGGGGTCTGGTCAGTGACCCCAAGTTGGAGCCGGTAACCCAACCCCGCTGGTGCTGGTTACAATTTAGGGCAACAATAACCCATTGAGGCCCCTTCCTGGCTCCTGCCCTGCTGCTCCTTGATCTAATTAAAGGGGGCCAGGGGGGACAAAACCTGAGCTGAAGGAACAGCAGGTACCCAGAGGTGGCACATTGAGGACCAGGCTGTGGAGAGGTGACATGGCCACCCACACCTCCCACCTCCTGCTCCCTCAGGGTCTGGGCATTGTGGGGGGGTCAGCTCTTAAGTGTGGTGCTGACATGCTTGGGGTGCTTTGAAAATTACGTTTGTGTGGTCAGAAATATCCCACCTGCTCAGGATTTGGGAAACAGAACCTCCAAAAGGCACATGTGGAGGGAGGTCCATGGGGCTGGTGCCTCCCACTCTGCCCTCTTCCAGGGATGCTGGATAGGGGCACAACCAGCCTGAAGGGTTTGGTGCTGCTGTGGGCATTGGGGTGAACACCCTGCGGTGACTCCCACCTTGGGGCACGCCATGGCCCTGCTTTGGGGTGCCACGGGGCAGCGTGGTGCCGGCTCGGCGGGCGCGGTGGGGATGCGGTGGGGATGCGGACTCCCCTTCCTGCCGGCCTGGCGTCAGTAATGAATGGTATGAGTTTCCTGCCCGCCCACTGATTGCTTCCTCAAAGAGTTTCAACGAGCTGCTGCTGCTGCTGCTGCTGCTCCCCAGGCACCGCTGCACTGCCCAAACCATCCCCGTGCCCCACGCTGCGCACCCGGGGCCACGCCGGAGATCCTCAGCCAGCCCCGCTGCTGCTCCCCATCCCTGCGGGGCTCAGTGCCTGTCCCCCGGTTCATGGTCTGCCCCAAGCAGATCTG